AGGCAGGGAGTAAATGACATGGAAAAGAAAAAAACCTTGTGGGTCAAGATAAAGGCAGTTCAATAAAAGCAAAAGCAAAGGCAGTGCATAATAGCAAAAGGAAAACAAGATTTTATTCTCTAATTCCCATCAGCAGGTGATGTCCAGCCACTGTCCAGTTGCTCTGGAAGACAAAACACTGTAAAAAACAAATGCCCCCTTTTCTTCCTCCTTTTTTCCTTAGCTTTTATATCTGAGCTGATGTCATATGGTATGGAATATCCTTTTGGTCAGTTTGGGTCAGGTGTCTTGGCTATGTCCCCTCCCAAGATCTTGCCCTGTCTCAGCCCACTGGTGTGTGGGGGGAATGCTGGAGACGCAGCCTTGATGCTGTGCGAGCACTGCTCAGCAGCAGCCAAAACATCGGTGTTTTTATCAGCACCTTTCTATGTACCGATAGAAAGCACAGCACTATGAGGGTTGCCATGAGGAAAATTAACTCCATCTTGGCCCGACCCAATACAACAGTGAAACTAATATGTCATCCCTGACCATTCCACGAACTTTCTAGGAGTTCAGAAATGCTCCCCATAGCACGGTTGTCCTTACGGAGTTGGAAGGTACCTCCTCCCTCTCCTAATCCTCATGATACCAGCTCTTGAATAATTCCAGTCAGTTTTTCCGGGGTACATATTGCAACCCTTGGCATGCTCAGACAAATGTGTTCTGAAGATGAAGCTCTTGTTAAGATAGCCCCATCCCTGGGACAGATTCTCAGCAGACAGAGTCATCAGTCCACTAGGTAACAGTGGCATCGTCTTTAATAGGTAAATAATCTTGAATATAAACCTCAGCTTTTAGAGATGCCAGCCTGCTGGCGCTTCAGCAAGGCAGATTACATGCTGAGGTCCACAGCAAAGTCCTCAACCAGTGTAAATTATCACCAGCTCCACTGACTTGAAAGAATTTCAGGCCAGAAGGGATCTTTGGATCACCCCATCCAACCAGCTGAATATAAATCTCCCAACCCAGTGACCCAGTGACACATACGCTGAGCCCAAGAGCTCACTGATGTGAATAGACTTGTGACCTGTGTAGACTGTTCCCTTGAGGTGTGATGATCTGGTCTGGACTTGCTAAAAGTTACACTTCCCTGCTGAAGACTATGAATATTTGAAATCGGCATCTGTGGGTAAGCTCTGCGCAAGCCAGGGGGACGCTGCGTCGTACCCCATCTTGCCTCTCAACAGACGGGTCCGTCCGGTCGCCACGGGGCACATTGCCTACCTAGAGTAGTGTCACTGAGTAATGGGCCTACACAGATAGTAATCACAGACTAAGCAGCTTGTTTCAAATGAGATTTTCAAAACATAGTGGACTGTACAGAAACTAGGCCTAGTTTCAAAGCCAGGCAGATTTTTTTTTTTTTTTGAAACATCATAATTTTAAGTGAACTATCAAAGACGGCGGGAGGGTGGAAAGCAGTTCATCGTTGCGAAGAGGTGCATTTTTGGTCCCTAACACTGTGTTGTACTAACACAGGTGCCACCAGAGAATGCTTTAAACCTTATCCACGCCTTCTACAAGAACTTATTGCAAGTCAGAAGGGGAGGACTCTACTTCAAGGACAAGTACTATAAATGTGTCCGCGCAGATGAGCATTCCCTCTATCTTCAAAATGTACGTTGACAAGAGCTGTGGCCATCCTAAGAAATTTGGAAACTTCCTACGTCCTCCCTCACTGCCTGGTTACGCGAAGACCGTAACACCAGGAGAAAGCCTTCACATGCTTCTTTCTTTTTTTCTTTCTCTCTATATCACCTTCCCAGCAGCTGTGGAATGAAACCGGTGCAGAATACAAAAAAGCGTCAGCTGTATAATACAAATTTAACGGGTAACACCGTTCATTTCCCTAACACCAGCTGCAGGGCTTGTCATGTTCTCCTTTGAATCAGTTAGTCTCCCTAATGTGGAAAAAACTATCACTTCATTTTTTTGCCACATTAATGAATTAATCGGGTAACAGGAGGGCCTGGCAAGCCCACAGGCCAGAATGAGGCAGCAGGAGCAGGTAACTGGGTTGGGGGAGAGAAGAGTCATGGGCAAGCAGGACCTTGCCTTGTGGGACTCCAGCCTCAGCAATTCACCAGTGAAATTCAGAAACAGAGGACACGGAGGCATGCAGCCATTCTCTGGATGGCAGAATTTTGGTACTACTGCCGAGTCACACAGCCTGAAGTAAATACATCCAACTGGCTGTTGCTGGGGTCTTCTTAATTCCTCCCCTCCCCAGTAAATCCATCCTGAAATGAGCTAAGCAACTCACAGAGCAGGCTGAGCAGCTCTTAAATTTGGATCCTGTTTCAGAAAAATGCAGTCCTTTGCAATGCCCTTTTCCATTCTTTATTACAAATGAGTGAGGCAGAGTTTGGGAGGCAGGGTTCCTGAAACACTGGGCATGCTTTCATGTAAATTTTGATAATTTTATTTGCATTTATCAATGCTTTTGTATATGACATTGAACACTAGAATAACACTTCTTCAAAATGCTGTGCAATAACACATTAATCAATGGAAGTGAGACTAGGCAATATAATAAAGCATTTGACTGACTTGCTTTAATAGTCAGCAGTCTTCAGAACATGCACTGGCACTGTTTGTCTGACAGTATTTGCCTTTTTTCCCCCCAAGACAACAGGTAGATTGGCAAAGAAAATGCCTGTAACTGGCCCAAATTGTAAGGCGATATGTATTTTTTTAGAACCTTGTAACCTTATATCAGTTTTCCATCTTATCTAGCCAGATGGAGGCCTGATAGCTGTGAAGACAAAGACTTTCATCCTGCTTGCTACTTACGGAGTGGGCATGTATCCCAGTGTGTGCGTGGAAGCTGTGGAAAAACTAGGTAAGAGAAATGCCTGTACCTGTGTGCCTGCGTGCTGGTGTCTCACTGAGTAGCTCCATCACTGGAAACAGCTTCAAAAATTAATCCGATGAACAACCAAATCCTGAAAATCTGGGAAACTGAATACAGACATGGGTTATTGCTCCATGGCTAAACCCTCTCCTGACATCTCCTCCCAAGGTGCTAGCACACCTGCTCCAAAGCCTCTATGGGTATGAGCAGGTCGCAGAACTGTCTCTTTCCGTGGCTGTTCTGGCACACGCTTTCTGTTAGTTACCCTTCAGCAAAATGGGACCTGACAATCACTTTTTCTTGACCTCATATGCCTAATGCTGAGGTCTTAAGCACACTTCTGTAGAGCATCAACTCTGATACTCTGCTTCGCAGTCCACTTCTTCAGTGACACATGAGCTCTCTAAGGGCTTCAAACCTTCTCTAGAAATCCCAGTCTCTAGAAGAAAGCTAGAGTCTCTTTTCCTATGTGTGAATCTTGGGACATCATAGAATCATAGAATCATAGAATGTTTTGGGTTGGAAGGGACCCCTAGGGGTCATCTAGTCCAACCCTCCTGCAGGGAGCAGGCACACTGCTAACCAGATCAGGTTGTTCAGAGCACCATCCAACCTGGCCTTGAATGTTTCCAGGGATGGGGCCTCCACTACCTCTCTGGGCAACCCCTTCCAGTGTTTCACCACCCTCATTGTAAAGAATTTCTTCCTTATATCTAGTCTAAACCTACCCTGGTTTAGTTTAAAACCATTACCCCTTGTCCTGTCACAGCTGGCCCTACTAAAAAGATTTTCCCCATCTTTCCTATAGGCCCCCTTTAGGTACTGAAAGGCCGCAATCAGGTGTCCCCGCAGCCTTCTCTTCTCCAGGCTGAAGCGTTTCCTCGTCTCACAGTAACAAAGCACTTCTTCTCTAACAAAAGTGCCCATTTCCTTCCCTCTCTTGCTCTGAGTTTCCGTTGTGCGAGTCCTCTTAAGTTCCTCTCTCTTGCGCTCAGTGTTTTAAAGACTTGGTGTTAACATCTAACTCTTCCCCATTCGGGAACATTGCAAAAACCCAGCCCTTCACAGACCAGCTGCAGAATCCTGACTGCATCTCAACTGTGGTTTTTCCCTTTTTGTGGAGGTGCTGGCAAGGATTAACCACTCTTCATTGTCCGTGGTCAGGGAGATAAATAACAGGGTTACACATCGTATTGCTGTAGTATACAGCTGGCTCTATATCAAGGATACAATGATTTTATTGCATCATCCAAATGCATAAAATACTCATGAGCAGATTCCCAGAATAGCCTTGATTTTTACCATAGGGATAATTCTAAGAAATTTCTAAGGAATTTAAAGGGTATTTCTAAGGAATATTTTGTAGAGCAGTAAGATTCAATTTAATCTATGTATATGCCCGTCTTCTTTCACTGAATAGGAATGAAATTGTAGGCCCACTGTGCTCCTAGCTTTTGTTCCTCATTTAGGTGCCTAAAAGTAAGTGGAATTAATTTGTGTTTTGGGGCATAAGCTGTTTCATCTGGAATGAGATACAAGACCCAGCAACAAATTTTTCATCAGACCTTTTTTCAAAAGGCTTTTACAATTCAAAAAGCTACAATCAAGAACAGGATTTTAGAGGCTGTAATGCAGGTTTTAAAACAAACTTGCCCGCTGGACCCTCTGAAGCCTGGTTCTCGGCTGCTGGGTCTGTGCTTGGTGCCAGGCTGGCGGAAACTGGCCTCCACTTCTTCACCCTTCACAGCCCCTGCACTTTGTTTAACCGCAATGCATTTGACTGCAGCCAGGCCAGGAGAAAAGGGAATTGGATTGCCCATGTTTTATTGAACTTTCCTATGCTCATTTGAGCCTCAACTATCAGAGCAACCTCAGGCTGCTTTATGTTGTGTTCTGCTTTCTATTGTTCTTGGCCATTGTTTTTGTCAGTGTCTCATCGCAGGTTGAGCGCAAACCCATTGTAGCAGCACTGCACTGCCTAGAGAGCCTCGATTTTCTTGAGCTTCAGACATGATTCTGCCTCATCCCTGTCATATTTAGCAGCTGTGATGGATCTGTTAGAAATTAAGTAGTGTAGGTCTTTGTCACTGATGTGTATGGCCAGCACATTAACTTCAAATTATACAAATTTTGGGGGGACATTTATGTGCTGGGCTATGAACTGAGGAACAGAAAGATTTCCCATCCTGGAAACGTTTGGCATAAGGTAAGGACAAACAGCTTCAAGCAGTAACCTCAAGGACGTCCACTGGGTTAAGTCTGCTGAGAGCATCAATAGGAGTTTTTAATCACTGGGTCAAAATGAGCATGAAGTACTACCAAACCAGAGTGGTCCTTCCAGGTAAGAAGTGTTTTCAAGGGATTGTTTCCATCTAGGGCAGCATTAATGAGACTTAACTAAAGCTAAGAATTGGGCCTTATATTTTCAGCTAACTTCAGACTAGCTCTACCCTAGTCTTTTTCTGCAGTACTAGAAATGGAGATGGAGCAGATCCAAAAGGTGCCATTGTGTTACTTAGCCCCAGGTCTGGCTGGCTGGCTCAGTAATAAATTCAGAAGCCATATCACAGTTGATACTAGCTTCTTTGCTGCCATGAAAGGAAGGCAGAAAGTGTAAAGTTGGGAGATTGCAAAAATGCCAACACTAGCAAAATCCGGTAACAAGTTCCACGCAAGTTATTTGGTCTTGCAAATAGTCACTTTGTCCGTAACTGGCCACTGTTCCTGAGTAAAGTCTAAGGTCTAAGTGTTTCCAGGGCCAGATTTGCAGTGGTTTTGACAATGTATATTCTTTGGCGTTTATACTTGCTGTTCTGGATGATTTTTTTTGTGAAAAGAAAGTAGCTTTTCGTCGCATGTTACAAGAGATTTCTGAAAATTATTTAAAGTGTTCAGTGTTTATTCTTTAAAACAGATAACACCTCACGAATACAGGTATTAGTATTAAATATTTTCAGCTAGAAATACTGCTGTCTTCTTTTGAGTACAGCATAGTCTGAGGTGGATTTGAGCTTGAAAAAAAGCATCACTATTACAACAATTCTGTATATGATTTTTATCATTGTTGATTTTAATTTTTGTTTAATTTATTTCCTTGTTATTATAGCAGACTACTTTAGAGAGAAAGGTAGCTGAATCAGCAGAAAACTTCATCAACCTCAGAAGGACTGCTCATGAGGAAATAAAGTACAGAAGTTTGAAGCCTTATCCAGTTTAAGCAAGAAACTGCCGCCTTACAACATTCCAACTGCTGCGTTTCCTTCTGTTTTTTCAAGAACACTTGAGGACTCACTGCTCGTAAGAGGACTAGCCTATGCACCTATAATCTCAGTTTCTTAACTGAATTGAAAGTGATGTCTTCAAGATTTGGTTTAAGATGCTCTGTTTCATCTTTCTAATGTTGTCTTTTAGCCTGTTTCCAGATAAGAAAATTATTAATCTCACTAAGAAAAGTGAGTTCTCTAATAGCATTACAGCTACGTGTAGCATCACAGACCCAAGGGATGAAGGAAATTGTTACATTAACAGATTTTCAGATTGTCCTGTACATCCTTGAATATCACAAATAAAACATATTTTTAACATGTCAATTTGCATTGTCACTGACCGCTATAGAGTTATTTTAAACTGTAGTGGACTGCAAAGTTCTGTGAGGACTTGGGGAGGAGGGACAACGTCACTACCAGGCTTGAATCAGACTGTGTGTACTATAGGACATCAAAGAACATCAGTCTCAAGAAGACCACGCTCCATGATCTTTTCATCTGCAGAAACAAATTATTAGCTCTTTGAGTCACATGAGAACAAAGGAATTTTTAGCTATATTTGATACTAAGTTAGTTTAGTTTCAAAGAAGAATTTAAAAGCCTGAATTCAAAAATCTCAAAATCAATAGGAAAAAAATCCACAGAAGAATCCCACAGATAGACATATATGATTTATCATTTTTAAATACTCTGAAGTGTCAATTTTATTCCCTGACAACTCAAATACTCAAGAGCTGGTGACTTAGGACACGGAGAAAGGCACAATCTGATCCTTCTCCCTCAGGGAAACGGTAAAGTTCAATGAAGAGGTGCAATCAGGCAGCTAAAACATCAGGTAGAAATGCACCGGGTTGACGGATGTGAACCAGTAAACCTTGAACACTGTGGTCTTACAGGAACAGAGCACAGTGAAGCCTCCGCAGGTGGATATATAGCATAAGGACTGTCACAGCTCACATGCCCTTAATGCAATTTAAGTAAATCCGGTCTGTGATACCAAGTTCAGAAATCAAACCATCAGTTCAGTGCTCTGCCTGAGAACATACAAATAGGCACACATCAGCACAGCAAAGGCATTAGACCAAACCTCCCTGTGTGCGGGGGGGTGAGCGGCGGATCTCAACCGCAGTGCCAGAGGGGAAAGTAGATTTCTGCCCCAATCCGTGGAATAAACCAGGTCCGTGGGTAGAAATAATGGTGAGATGTACTAATACTTCTGATTCTGCTCATGTCTTTCCCGCCAGAGTGAACCACAGACTCATTCTGTTCCACCCCTTGACTTGCTGGGGATGGCTGATAGCAAGGGCAGAGCTGGGAGAGGAGGAACTGGGATCAGACTCCGTTCCCGAGGACCGGCTGAGTTCGTTCCTGGTGCAGAGAACGCCCTCCCTTCTTTGCAGGAAAAAAGTGAGTCACAAATTGTGCTTGAGAGCAACATAACTTCTTGAAACTGTTGTTTTGGGCCACTGCTGGCAGATCTGACAATTTGAAGTTGTTGCACGGGGTTGGAAACTTGGTTTTCAATTCCTGCGGTGCATTTGAAAACAATGTCAATATTGGATCCTCACTGTATTTTTTTATATGTATTTTTGCAAGTCTGCTTCTAGCAACAAAGAAAAGCATTTATAAAAATGCAGTTTAGTGGACTGTGTTGGAAGAGGAACAAAAGCTGCTTTTGTATCTTATTTTTAATCGACTAAATTTGGACAGATTAAGAGGGCAGAAGCATCTGTTACAGGGTCGTATCTGGTGGGCTTCCCATTAAATTTTTGCACTAATACAGACAAATTTTGTGGGACTGGATTAAATGGTTTAGCTGAAAACAACAGATAGACTGCCAGCCTCTGAAAGAAAAGCATTTTAAGTTACGTTTCATACAAATAATTGCAAGCCTTTATTTGCCAAGAAATAGCCATAGAGCACCACCCCGTGGGGATTTACATTCCTGGGGTTTCAAGGTGTTTAGCATTCCGTGTTTGCAGTCTTACAACAAATAATTAAGTATGCACTTAGCTTTTCCTGTGCAGATATCATAATGCAAGTGATTTTTACAGAGGGCATGGTGGTCTGTCACACAATGCTGTTTACTTGAAGAGGCTCCGGCTTGCAGCCCACCCCTGCGCACATCTTTGGGCAGCAGCCCTGTACTCTGTTCAGTATAGTACCAGCTCTCGGGAAGTAACACAGGCGTTCCCATTGTGATTCCCCCTTCTTTACTACTGCGGCTAAGGAAAAAAAGGAGAGCTTACCCGCTCTGGAAGAAGGGAAAGGCAACCCAAGAAGAGTACAGGGATCTTGTCAGGTTATGCAGAGAGGAAATCAGAAAGGCAAAAGCCCAGCTGGAATTTAACCTGGCCACTGCTGTAAGGGATAATAAGAAAAGTTTTTATAAATACATTAACAGCAAAAAGAGAGCCAGGGAGAACCTCCATCCTCTAGTGGATGCAAGGGGGAACATTGCCACTAAAGACAAGGAAAAGGCAGAGATACTCAACGCCTTCTTTGCCTCGGTCTTTAATGGCCCAACGAGTTATCCCCAGGGTACCCAGCCTCCCGAGCTGGAAGATGGGGACAGTGAGTGGAATAAACCCCCCATAATCCAGGAGGAAG